CCAGCCGGTGCTGGTCCCAGCCACTGTCGTCTTGTCAGCTCAGGCTATTCCTGGGGGTTCTGGGTAGGGGCTGGAAGGGCCTAGAGAGCTGTGTGTGGGATGCCCTGGAGGTCTGAGGCCAACTGCCGTCGACAGCTGAAGGGGAGTGGGGTCGTGCCTGCACCCGGCAGGCCCTGGCTGGCTCTTCTTCCTTGCTTGGGTAGAACCACGTGTGAAGACCAGCAGCTCCCCGCTGCTCCTGGTGTACGAGACCTCCTGGCAGCCCTTCCCCAGCCCCGACGCACATGAGGTAGAGCCTGGCCTGTGGGAGGACGCCCAGCAGAGAGGACTTTGCAGGTCGCTCCCTGGCATGTATGTGTGCTGTGCTATCCCCACCTGGCCACCTAGCCAAGAAGGTGGCTCTCCGTATAGGCCCAGGGAAGTGGAGTCGCAGGGAGATCTGGGGTGAGACTGCTACCCCCTCAGTGCGCTGGCCTCTCAAGGTCAATGCTCTGTTCTCCCAGACGCTGGACACCCGTTTTTACGGCCTGGCCCCTGCATAGCTGGCCTCTCATAAAAGGGCCAGTGTCCCCTTCAGCAGCACACAGCATTTGAAGATCCACTTAAACGGCACATAGCATGGCTCCAAAAACTTAAGCGTACAGGTATTTCTGCACCTGGCCATTGAACCAACGACCTTGGCTTTATTGGCCCCAGGAGCTCGCTACACTCATCTCACCAAAACACTCCCCCCTCCCTGCAGCCTTGAGAGAATGACTTTGCACCGCCAGGCCTCGGCCTGTTCATGCTGAAAAAAGAGGGTGAAGGGGCCAGATTTCCTTCCAAAAGGAAAACTCAGTAATTATAAGCATAATGGTCAAGCTAACTTTGTTGCGTGATTACTACATATCTCCATTTTTTTCCTTTTAATTCTCACCAACAAAACTCAGAGACAGAGAGACCGAGAGAGACATCTTATGACAGAGACAGGGAGAGAAAGCACCCCGAATGCGGGTCTCAAGGTGCAGTCCTTTATCCTCCACTGGGGCTTGCATGCATATGTGCAAGCTGCCGAGGCTGGGACTCAAACTGCAGTGAGCCATGTGGGATCCAGACCAGAGGCCCAGCCCACCTCTCTTTCTCTCTCTCACACACACTCTGTCTCACTCTCATGTGCACACTCACGTGGATAAAGAGAGGCAAAGGCTTTGCCTTCAATTCCTCATCACCGTCACTCCCTGGATCTGGTTTTCCTTGGATCCCTATGGATCTCACCCAAACCCTGTGGGCGACTCTCTCCGTGGTTGGCATCCCACCACTTCTGTGGGTGGTTCAGCCCCTCCTCAGTGATTCTACGGTCCCAGGAGGTAGCCACAGTCTGAAAGATCTTCTCTCCACCCTGCAGCTCCGCCCCAAGGTCCTGGGAGGCAGAGGAGTTTGCTATGCAGCAGGGAAGGTGCTGTGATTGGAACCCAGGGGTTGGCGCTGTGACTGGCACGAAGGACTTGCAGGCTCCAAAGCGCGGGTCCCTTCCTCTGGGCTACACTGTCTTTCTTGAGCCTCACTACCTGCTGCTTCTCACGTCCCTGACTCAGTTACTCTCACACCTTGAATGTTTGAATGTACCTACAGTCTAAAACCTTTTTTTTTTTTTTAATATAGGGTTTTCCTTCTGGCTACTGTGATGCACATATGCTTGCTTAGCAAACTTACTCATGCTCCAATTCTTTCTCAAGCATGTTATCCTTTGCGAGATCTCCCTGGACTTCCTTAAACAGCTTAGGATAACCGTCTCCGTCCCCGTCAGTGGTACCACAGTGATTATTTAATGACCTCTGCCTCCTCTATGGGTCTGATCTGTTAGCATCTGTAGGGCAGGGACTAGATTTCATTGTCACTGAGTCCCTAACCCCAGCTACCATACCTGCTGTAATGCGTATTGAGCAGTTCTTCAAAGTCCCAGTGCTTCGAATAGATTATCTTATTTCATTTCCTTCCTCTTCAGATGAGGAGATTGGAAAGGGGGCAGAGACAGCTCCAGGATTTTAATCAATAGGAGGGATTTACGGGCTAGACCCTGCTTGTGGGGATGCCAGCAGACTCCGTCCCAAAGCTGGGTTCCACTCTATGATGTTGTCTCTTTACACATGGCGTATTTTTGAGGTCACTACAGCATCTAGGGGGGCTAAAGCCCTCTCAGGTCAAGCCACTCCTTGGTACCACTTCCAGAAGAAAGTTAAGTCACTTCCCTAAGACTGCACGGCTAAGTAACGGAGTTAGGGCTTGATCTCAGGACTTAGGGCTTGCTGGAGAGCACTTGAGGTGGTTGCCAGGAGAAGGTTAGTTAGAAATTACTTGGGGACCTGCCGCTGGCCTGGTAGTTAAGACGCGACATTCCCACGTGATCCACCACGGTTTGAGTCCTGGACCTGGTGGCTTGCTTTCTCGCTTTCCCGTTCTTTGTCTCTGTCTGGTCAAATTAAAAAAAATATTAATAACAAATGGAATTAAATAAAGAAATAATTCTTTAAAAAAAGAGAAATGATTAGTACTTTGTGGCAAGTCACTTATTAGTAACATGGAGTTTTTATGAAAAAGCGAAGACCTAATTTCTTCTAGCGTGTAGGTTCATAGGAGAAACAAAGTGATTAAAATACACATAATGACATACACACAAGAGACACACCGACAGGTACTGAAAAACTAGCAATTGGGTAGAAACCTCCACGTGGAGTTGCAGCGCTGGCGGGGAAGGGGGCGTGGAAGTGTCTGGGAAAGCCGGGGGGTGGAAGTGTCCAGGCCTCCAAGTTCTGAAGAGGAGGGCTGGCCTCGCCCAGCTGCCTGCCGTGCAGCGCCTGCTTCCTCACCTGCGGAAGAGGAGCCTCAGAGTCGGCCTTCTCAAAGCCCCTTCCAGCCCTGATGCTGTCCGAGGGGTTTGGTTTTCAAGCAGAGGAAACATGGAACACATATAGCACTGAGAGCCCCGTCTACTCCGTGGCTTTTCAGATCCTGAGAGAACAGCCTCTCAGGCATTTCCACGTGGAATGTCTGTTTCGAGACTTGCCCATTGTCAGGACTCAGCAAATCAGCCCCCTCCCACCCACGTCCGTATCTAGAGCATTGGTCTGAATATTCATTCGGGTCAGTAAAGTCTGCCTCCAGATAAATAAATAAATAAAGTTATCCAAAGCCTAATAGAATTAGTCCAAGGAAGGAGGTCTCTGCAGTTTCCATCATCCGGGCCAAGTCTTCCTCATGGGAGCGCGAACCCGCCAGGACTCTCATCTGAGAGTCTGGGCAAGGCGGCAACCGCTAGAGGAAGTGCTGTTCTGTGTTTCGGGCTGGTGAGCCAGGCCGGCTCGGGGAAGACACGCAGCTCAGTCCTAGGCTGCTTTGTTGTTCTTGCCGGAGTCAGGAGTTGAGCATTGCACAGAGCCGTGCGGAAACCAGAGGCTTCCCAGAAGCAGCCTCTCCGTCCTGCTTTGGAGAGTGAGAACAAGATGGAGTTAGTGATGTCGGTTCCATGTCCAAAGGTCATGGCTGTGGTGGGGTGGAGGTCACCAGGAGTATAGAGGCCGCTGCTGCCTGGAAAACCAGGCAGGTGCTGCCAAGGGCCTTCCACTCGGGACCCCAGTGCTGTTCAGAGGCCGTGGGGGACGGGATGGCACGGAGGATGTGAGAAGGCCACTGCCGATGGGAACTGTCTGTTAAAGTTCTGGGGTTCAGCGACTTTTGGGGGCCACCAGATGTTTCTCCAGGAGCTTGTGGGGAAACCCACAGACCTTCTCAAGAGGAAGGAGGCAAACAGGTGAGAGGTAGTAGCCAGGGACTGTGTCCTGAACACTGCCCAGTGAGACGGTGGGCATGGGAGCCCCTTCCCAGGGAGGCAATTACCTTCCTTTGATGGAGCACTCCTCTGTGCCAGAGGTGCCTTAGCAAGAAAACTAACCTTTTCTGTTTTGTCTCCACCTGGATTAAAGATAAAGTTTAGGGTGTGTCATTTGGAACCATCTCTACAAGGGCACTGAAGAAGATCCCAGAAAGGGAAGATGGCATGCCCATGGCCTCTTCCACATGCTGCCTCTCCTGCTGGCCTCTGAGGGGCTGGAAAAGCAGGGTAGCGAGGTGGGGAGAGCAGGGGCAAGGGATGAGCAGCTTCCCAGGGAGGGCGTGGCTTGCTCATTCTCCTCTCGGACTCCATCGAGCCTCCTGTGAATCCAGAAGGCAGTCTTCCTGCCCATTTGATGACCTGGGCGACTGCTCTCAAGGACTGGGCCTGTCAGTTTCTCCTAGCCCGGACTCTAGGCAGCCCTGGGTCTAATGCTCCCGCCACCAGACAGGCTAATTCGCATCACCCCGCATGGTGTCATGGTCCCCGAGACCCGGCATCACCTTCTTGCCCAGTAACGGCTCTGTGAGCTCAAGGGCAGGATGGTCCAATCGGCGTGTTCTTACTGCCACTGTGAGCCAATCAGAAAGCGCTGCTCTTCGGGCACAGAGAAAATGCGACTGACCACTGTGCCCCACCCCAGCCTTCCTCGGTGTGGATGTTCCCGGAGTGTCCTGAGTGAGGGAGACAGGAGCAGAAGCCAGCATCCACGCTCCTCGCGGCTCGCGGTCTCTCACTGCACACGATGTGTATAAACTCACTGTAAGCCCGGGGAGTCACGTGCTTCTAGGAATGCGGAGGACGGGAGGTTTCGGCCCACCCCCAGCAGGCAGCAAGGAGAGTTGGGCAAGTTTAGGGCAGGGCGGATTGGGCTCAGAATTTGGGAGCCAGCAGGGTGTTGCTAGAAAGTCTCAGGCATGGGGACATGTGAGCAAGGGCACTGGAGGAGAAATGTGTGAGGAAGGACAGACACTCAACGTGACTGAACCTTGGCTGTCTGGGGGTAGGAGGTGGTCAGAGTAAGGATGAGATCGAGAGTGTGAAAGGTCCCGGGGGTCCCAGCCAGACCACGCAAGTCCTAATTCTACCCTAAAGATAGTGACATTTGTCTTCCAGGTGCTATGGCCCCATTCGCAGTCAGAGACTGGAACTAAATATCTACTCATTTCACCTCTCCATTCACAAGAAGGCTGCCCAACACCAGGAGCCCAGTCTGACTTGCCGATGCGAATCAGCCCAGGTAAGCAACGAGTCTGGGGGTGCTCCTGGCTGTATCAACCCCCTGCTCTAGTCAGGGCTGAAGCTCTGGAGGAGGAAGCAGGTGTGGATATTCTTGGGGTGGGCCCCCAAGGTGGTTGGCAGAACCCAAGAAGAGCCGGAACTTCTGCTAAGCCACGTGGAGGCCCACATGCAATTTGGAAGAGTGAAAAGAAAGTGTAGACCCCGGGCCTGGGAAATGCGGGCTCCACCCGGTTCTGTCATGAGCGAGGCGAGGGGCAGCTGGACGGCAATTCATTCAACACATGTACTGACTGGCTAGAGCCCATATCGGGAGCATGCTCTGCATCCAGGCACTGGGCTAGACGGGAGATGCAGAAGGAGCAAGTCCCAGCCTCCCCCTCAGGGATGTCACAGGCGAGGCTCACAGACAGCCGATGCAGTACCACGTAAGAGGGTCCGTATGTCCTTCCACTCATGGCCGTCTCTGGCCTTGCTCTATGCCCGTTTCCACAATCCAGACCCAGCGGCTGGCCAGGATGCTGGGTTACCAGACGCAATGCTCTGGGCTCATTTTCTCCCGAGTGAAAAAGAGCAAGGGTGACCCTCGATGCCCTGCTTCCCAGACTCTGTCAATCCACAGGTATCTTCCTTGCCCAGCCACATAAAGCCTTGTTCTTGCTCCTCACTGGGAATCCGAGTTCGAACAGAGGCAGTCAGTAAGGGCCACGTGGGTTGCTCAGTGGGTGCATTCAGTTTATATGCTAGCGAAGGCCTTGGTCTCCTGCTAGCTTTCATCCAGAACTTTCTCCAGAATTATGGCTGCCCTCCAGTACATAGGCTCCCCAGGGTCAAGGAAAATCCCAGTGCTTTTGCGAAGAGCCAGGACACACAGAGGCCAGCAGCACAGACTGTGGCTCCGAGAAACCCAGACAAGCTCTGCAGCAAGGAAAGTCCCCACGGCGCAGGGCAGAGCCAATGGCCCCCACCCTGACTGCTGGCCTTGCGCTGGGCTGTGTTCCAGCCGTGGCCCTGATTTCCTGACAGCTTTCATCTCATGACCTGTCCTGGAAGGGGCAGCCTGGCGGTAGACTGAGGCAGTGGTCCCATGGGCTACGTGTATCATGGGATGTGCGCCACATGCATGGGGTTAGGAAGAAAATGGTGGACGTCTGTTGATTGAAAAGTTCTATCATAAAGCAGGAGTTTTAGCTAATCCTAATGTTTCTATATGGGAGTATCGTGTGTACTTTTTTTTCCTTCAGGGTGCATGTGCTTGCCAGAGACAGACAGAGGGGGAAAAAAAGGAGGAGAGTGAGAAAGCACCTGCAGAGGGCATAGCCATTCCTCAATCCCCTCTTCATTCTCAGGATTTTGGACATACACGCACACGTGCCTGGCATTGTTTTCAAGCTGCCGGGTCCTGGACTCGAATCTCACAGTTGGCCATGTGAGATCCAGCCGCTTTAGCCACCATGCCACCAGTTGGTCCTTCTGTACTATCTTTACAACTTTTCTGTAAATCTGGACTCTCGACTTAATTTCTACTTAGAAACAGCGTCTTTTTTTCACAGTTTGCATTCTGTGTGTGTTAGGATGTGCGCAATGCTCTTAGAAGGTACGGCGTGGTTAAAATAGAGGTTTAGTTGAATGACATGGGACTCAGACTGGACGGCAATGTCTAGAGGCAGATGGCCCAGGCTGGTACGGAGCGAGTCCAGAGCCGGATTTATCCTTGCCCAGAGTCCAAGGCAGCTTGCTCCCAAGTCCACACTCCAGGGCACGGCATGACGGAAGTGAGGGAGAGGAGACAGTTTCAAGCATTTCTGTATCACTTCTACTCTAAGCCCATCAGCAGAACTTAATCCAAATGGCCATACCCAGCTGCCAGGGCATAGGAAATATAGTTCTAATTGTAGCTGGCCATGCGAACAATAGAAACTTAGGGGACTCGGGAACCAGCAGTTAGCGTAATGGCTATGTCGCTGGACTCCCACGTAGTCGACCGCGGTTCGCGTCCCAGACCCGGTGGCTTAAAACTCATGCCAGGCGTGTGTGCGTGCATGCCCAAGATCCCGAGAGGAGAACGGAGGAGAAGGGATTGCGGCGTGACCATCCCCTCTGGGGGTTGATTTCTCGCTTTTTGTCTCTATGTCTCTCTCTGTCTGTCTGGCGGGCGTACGCGCCCTGTAGCAAAAAACCTCTCCAAAAAAAAAAAAAAAAAGAAACTTAAGGGGCTAACACCATAGAAGAAGGGAGGCAGGATATTGGGAGGCAACTGGCATTTTGGGCCACAATTGATGATTTTATTTTATTTATGACATAGAAATAAGTACATAGGCACATAATGAGGGTCCAGCTCAATTTTTAAAAAAAATTTATTTATTTATTTCAGACACTTTTAAAAAATTAATTTACATTCATTCCCTAAGCATTGCCACAGCATACAAAATGTGATTTCCCACCCAGAATATACTGCATAGTGGCTTAATCATGCATGTTATCGCCAGTAATTTTCCATTTCTACTGATAATTCAGCCTCCAGCCCACGAACTCGAGTGGAGAAGCAAGGGGCAGGCCTTCAGAAGAAGATTCCTCCATGGCTCCTGAGAACTAGTGATTTCAGGGAAAAAAGAAATGGAGATTTTCTACCCAGTATTTTTTTTTTTTTGGAGAGATTTTCACTGTAGGGCGCATGCGCTCGCCAGACAGACAGAGAGAGACATAGAGACAGAAAGCGAGAAATCACCCCCCAGGGGGGATGGTCACGCCGCAATCCTTTCTCCTCCATTCTCCTCTCGGGATCTTGGGCACGCACGCACACGCGCCTGGTGTGAGTTTTAAGCCACCGGGTCCAGGACACGAACCGCGGTCGACTACGTGGGAGTCCAGCGACATAACCATTACGCTAACTGCTGGTTCCCTACCCAATATTTTTTAAAGGTGCACAATAAAAAAAAATGCAGGCCACTGCTTTAAGGCACTAAGGAACAGGCAGCGTTCCTGACTCGGGCTCCTGGCATCCCCAGAGGTGCCTTCCCCCCAGGCACTAATCCAGTCCTCAAAACACGTGTGGGCTTCTCCGCCGCTCAGTTACCCCAAAGCCTCATCTTCAGGTCTGTTTCCAGGTCCCCAGAAGCTGAAGCAAGGGCACCTGTGTGTTTTCTTCGGAGAATCTTCACCTCAGATGCAGAGACCAGTGAGTGAGGGAGAAGGGTGAGGAAGGACAAGGACAGAGTTTGAGAGAGATGGGCAGACAGGGAAAGAAACAATGCCGATAAAGAATGAGAAGCGAGATAAGAGGGAGTGGCCAGACATTGGGCCTGGAGCCCGGGAAAGGCTGCAGAGATGGGGAGAGGCTGGGGGAGCCATGGCTCGCAGGGGAGGCTGGCCCGAGGGAAGTGGGTCTTTATCTGGGGGCTGTGAGGTCACCTACTCGCAGAAGGTGGGGAGGCAGGACGCACACGTTTTGGTGGGAGGCCTCTCAGAGCAATGTTGGGGATGCTCACCCTGCCCACTTTGTCAGGGCAGCCCCTGGAGATGACCAACCGGAGAAGGAAGAGGGGAAGGCTGTTTTGCAGGGAGGAGGAGAGGGTCTGGCCACTGCTCTCTCCACCGTGGCCCCCCGCCCCCGCACTTCTAGGAGACAGACTGCATGCAGGCTTTGTGTTTACCTGTACAGATGAGGATATTTCTGTGTCTATGTTCTTATACTCTGTGTCTATGCCCCCAGGTACTTTCCTCTGGCAAGCAGAGGTTCAGGCCATGTGGAATGGGAGCACTGAGCGCTAGGATGGTTTCTACCTGAGGAAACTGGGGAAGGCTTCATGGAGGAGGTGTGGGTCGTGAAGGACAGCAGAGGGATTGTGTTTATTATTTATTATTTTTTAATATTTTTGCCATAGGATAAGTATGCTCACTGGAGAGAGACAGAGAGACAGAGAAAAGGAAAGTGAGAAATCACCCCCCCAGGGGGGGCACACCACAATCTCTTTTCCTCCACTCTCTTCCTGGGATTTTGTGCACACTCGCACACATACCCAGCATGAGTTTCAATCCACTGGGTCCAGGACTCAAACCGCAGTCGGCCATGTGGGAGTCCAACGCCTTGATCACCACTCCACCTGTTGGCCCCAAAAAAGGGATTTTAAGATATAGATGGTGATGCTGGCAGTTGGCATAGTGGTTAAGGGTGCTGGACTCCCACATGGTCAACCATGGTTCAAGTCCCAGACCTCTCATGTTGCCTTTTTACTTTCTTTCTCTCTCTGTCTCTCTTTGGTCAACTTAAAATAAATAAATTAAATTAAATAATTCTTTATAAAAATAAGAGAGAGAGGTGGGTGAGGAGGAGGGACAGTCAGGGCAGGAGGAACAATACATTGGAAGGCCAGACCGGGATGCACAGAGCATGCTAGACCCGGATCAGGAAGTTGGGGCCATTCCTTGTGCTGGAACAAAAACAGGAAGGCAACAAAGTGACTTCCTCCAAGTGACAGCTAAAAACAAACTCTGTACTTCATGTCTGTCTGCAAAAGATAGGGTCTGGGCCAGGTGTAGGGACCCTGGGTCTGGCAGGGGGCAGCCTTCCGTAAACCCCACAGTCTGGGAGCCTGAGCATGCAGTGTTCTTATCCCCAGAGGGACTCATCCTTATCTTATCCTGCCCGACAGAGTGCCTTCTCTGCCTCCTTCGCTTTTTCTGTTTTCTTCTCACTCTTCATCCTATGCCTGCCACTGTCGTTTTCCTCACGGTGCACACTTGCTGAGCTTTACAAGCGGCCCAGGACTCTCGGGGTCACCCTGTCACACAGATAGGTCTGCATAGATGGTGGATTGTTGGAGTACATTCGGCAGCAAGTAAGGAGACCTCAACTAGACTGGCCTCAACAAGGACATCTGTTACTGCATCGCCAAGAGTCCCGAGGGCATTTCTGTTTGGTGGCTTGACAATATACCAAAGACCTACCTTTCTGTCCCCTGTCAAATCTGCTATACTTAGCCCTTTTGAGTTTTGCCCTCCCGCTTGTCCCAATCTCGGGGTCACATGACGTCTGCAGCAGCTTCAGGCACTGCCTCCCTGCAGAGCCACATCTAGAGGCGGACAACAGGAAGAGTCCCTTTTCATCTCTTTAAACAGAAAGATGGGTTTTCTAGAATCCTCCCTGCAGACCTCGTCTATCCCTTGCCCAGGATTGTATTGCATTCCCAATTAAACTCTGGCTAGAGGAATGGAATTATCTGTGATAGTACTGGGCTAATCAAAATTCATCCACTAGGGTCAGCCCCTGAGCACCGTGGTTAACTGCTAGGCACAGGGAGCTGGAGCCCACGTGGCTGACTGCTGTTCAAGTCCCAGCCCCAGTGGCTTGAAAAACACACTGGGCGGGTTTGCATGCATGCCTAGGGTCCTGACAAGACGGGGAAACGGAGGAAAAGGAATTGCAGCTTGTCCGCACCCCACTGGGGGTGCTCTCTCACACTCTCTCTCTCCCTCTCTTTCTATCTCTCTCTTTCTCTGTGGCAGACACAATCTCTGCTAATTAATGAAAAAGAAAGAAAGAAGAAAGATCTATCTGCTAGGACTAGAAGCTGGGCAAGAATTCAGCCTTCTCTGAAAACATGGCCACGCAACATGCAAACCAAAGTGGAGAACAACTAACTCAGAGGGGTTGGAGGGTGGACGGAGAGGAACAGAGCCATAGTCATCGGGATAACATGTCTACCACACACACACAAGGGAGAATTTGGATCCTTCGGTCACACCTTACATGAAAGTAATTCTAAATGAGTGGAAGACCTAAATGTAAGTGCTCTTAAAAGAATACATAGGAAAAATGCTTCATGACATTGACTCTCATAATAATTTCTTATATGACACCAAAAGCACAGACACTGAAAGAGGGAAAAACAAACAAACAGATAAATTAGACTATGTCACAAAAAACTTTTTTTGAGAGAGATTTTTGCTATAGGGCATGTGCACTCACTGGACACAGAGAGAGAGAGAGACAGAAAACAAGAAATCACCCTTGAGAGGGGATGGCCACACTACAACCCCTTCTCCTCCATTCTCCTCTTGGGATTTTGGGCATGCATATACATGTGTACTTTTTATTTTTTAATTATTCATTTATTTTAACTTAATTATTCATTTATTTTAATTTGACCTGGGTAGGGGGAAGGTGAAAAAGCAAGCCAGCAAGTCTGGGATTCAAACCATGGTCAGCCATGTGAGAGTCAAATGCCTCAACCACCATGCTACCTGCCTGCCACCTGGCGTGAGTTTTAAGCTGTCAGGTCTGGGACTCGAACAACTTTTATTCATCAAAAAACATAGCAAAAGAGTAAAAAGACAACACAAAATGGAAAAAAAAGAGAGGAAGTAGCTAAAAATGATATATCCAATAAATATATTTCTAAGGCTGAAACATGTAAAGAACTCCTATAACTCACCACCTCAAAAATAAACAGCTTGGGACCAGCAGATAGTGCAATGGCTATGTTGCTGGACTCCCATGTAGTTGACTATGGTTTGAGTCCTGGACCTGGTAGCTTAAACTCACACCAGGTACGTGTGCGTGCATGCCCAAGATCCCAAGAGGAGAATGGAGAAGGGATTGTGGTGTGGCCATCTCCCCTGGGGGGTGATTTCTCGCTTTTTGTCTCTCTGTCTCTCTCTGTCTTTCTGGAGAGCGCACGCGCTCCCATAGCAAAAACTTCTCAAAAACAAAAACAAAACAGACAAAAAAAAAAATAAAAAGCTCAATTAAAAATTGGACAAAGGACTTGAATAGATATTTCTTCAAAGGACATACAAATTGTCAATTGTCAATAAGCACACAAAAAGATGCTCAGGAACCTCATTATTAAGGGAATGCAAATCAAAACCATGGTGAGATACCAGTTCATACCCATTAGCATGGCTATATTAAAAACAAACAGAACCCAGAAAATAGCAAATGATGAAGAGGATATGGAGAGACTGGGACACTTGTGCATTGCTGGGCGAAATGGTGCAGCTGCTGTGGAGAACATGGTGGTGGTGCCTCAAAAAGCTAACCAGAGCTAGAAGCTCTGCTCTAAACCCTATCTTCTAGACTCCTGAAATATTCAGACAAGAAGCCATTTTAGAGCTGAGGTGTGTCCTGGCCTGCTCTGGGAAGCCATGCTCTAAACTCCATCTTCTAGACTCATGAAGTATTCAGACAAATGGAGGAGAGATTTTGTCACAGAATGATCAGAAACCACTGAAGAGGTACAAGAAACATGAGAAACCAAGAAAACATCTCCCAAGGGAAAAGAACAATCTCTCATCATTCACGGACAGTATAGTAGAACTCGTGGAAATGTCTAATAGAGAATTCAGAATATTCGTAGTGACAAAACTAAACGAGATGCAAGAGCTGAGAGATAATGAACTCCAGAAGATGCAGGAGAAAAGAGACAAGTTCCGGGAGGTGTTGAAGTTCTTCCATGATCTGAAAGAGGAAATACACACCATAAAAAAGAATAAAATGGAGCTATTAGAGATGAAGGCTGTCATTCAAGAAATCAAAACCTCCTTCAAAAGTATTAAAAAGAGATTAGTCCATGCAGAAAATTGAATCTCGGATGTGGAAGGCAAAACTTCTGATCTAGAAAAAACAACCCAAAAAACTGAGAAAATAGCCCCCCAAAATGAGAATACTATATGAGAAATACTAGACAGCATTAAGCACCCAGACATCCAGATAATCGGTATCTCAGAAGGGGAGCAAACTAATAAGGGCATTGCTAATCTATTCCATGAAATCTTGGAAGAAAACTTTCCAAATCTAAAGAGGTATTCAAATATCCAGATGCAAGAAATACAAAGGACCCCTAGTAGAATCAATCCAAGAAGATCTTCTCCAAGGCACATCATAGCCAGACTGGCCAAATCTACAGACAAAGACAAGATACTAAAATTGGCAAGAGAGAAACATCAGGCTACTTATAAAGGTTATCCCATCAGGCTAACTTCTGACCTCTCATCAGAAACAATGTGAGCAAGGAAAGAATGGGAAAATATATTGAAAGTGTTAAGTAAAAAACAGTTTCAACCAAGAATACTATACCCAGCAAGGTTATCTTTCACATGGAAAGAAAGGATAAAAACATTCTCAGGTAAACAAGACCTCAAAGAATTTGCCAATAGCAGACTCACTCTTCAAGAAGTTCTGAAAGGAGTGCTCTACTAGGAAAACTAAAGACACATAAAGAAATAAGAGAATAAAAGGCAACTAAGAAAATGACCAATTTAATGCTAGGGACAAGAAATAGCAATAATAACATTGAATGCTATCTTTTAGGATTTAAATGGAAAGATTGGACCACAGCAACACTGCATATTCAACAGAAGTGTTTGAACATAACACTGAACTGGCAAAATAGAATTTTATGACTTTTGAGTGAAACATTACTGATTTTTTTTTTTACCATGCTTTGTTTTCCCAATTTAAGCATTTTACTTTCTTCTGAGTTGTTGATAGGTTCAGCAATTTGTTAAAGTATTTTTCTTGTTTGTTTCTTTAAATGGGAACATAAACTTTTCTTCTTTCCTGACTCCTCTGGAATTGGAAAGTATTTGGGAGTATTCTTATTTTGTGGCAGAAGGGTTATTTGTATAAATTCAATAGGGAACAGCAGTTGGCTTAATGGCTCTGTGGCTGGACTCCCATGTAATCGACCATGGTTTGAATCCCGGACCCGGCGGTTTAAACTCACGCCAAGAGCATGTGCGTGGGTGCCCAAGATCCCGAGAGGAGAATGGAAGGAGAAGGGATTGCGGCGTGGCCATTTCTCTGGGGGGTGATTTCTCGCTTTCTGTCTCTATCTCTCTCTGTCTTTCTGGTGAGCACACATGCCCTATAGCACAAAAAACAAAACAAAAACAAAAAACAACTCTCACAAAAAAAAAGAATGATGGAGTATGAGCAAAAACTTTTTGATATGTAAAGTAAGTGTTTGTGAAAAAATGTAAAAATAAAGAAAAGTAAAACAAAACAAACAAATAAGCTAAAGCTAACCAGAGCTATCATATGATCAGACAATTTCATTTCTAGGCACATGTTCAGAAGAATCGAAAACAAGAATTTAAACAGATACTGGTACATGAACATTCAAGGTGGAACCATCCCGTTCCCAACGGAGAATGGATAAATGAAATGTAGTATATACACACACTGAGCTATGCGGATAGCCATAAAATGAGGAAGTGCTACTTCTTACACAGCATGGATGACTCTTGAGGGCATTATGCTACGTAAGCTAAGCACAAATGTTGTATGATTCTACTTATGTGAGGTACCTAGAGTGAGCAAATTCCCAGAGAAAGTAGATTTCAGGTTACCAGGGGCTTGGGAAGCAGGGAATGGGATTTATTGTTTAAGAGGTGTAAGATGTCCATTTGGAGCAATGATTTGGAATAATGGTTTTTTTTTTTTTGGAGAGATTTTCACTGTAGGGCGCGTGCACTCGCCAGACAGACAGAGAGAGACATAGAGACAGAAAGCGAGAAATCACCCCCTAGGGGGGATGGTCACGCCGCAATCCCTTCTCCTCCATTCTCCTCTCGGGATCTTGGGCACGCACGCACACGCGCCCGGCGTGAGTTTTAAGCCACCGGGTCCGGGACACGAACCGCGGTCGACTGCATGGGAGTCCAGCGACATAGCCATTACGCTAACTGCTGGTTCCCTGGAATAATGGTTTTTGCACAACATTGTGAATGTAATTAATGGCACTAAACATTATACTTTAGAATGGTGATATATATATATGTGTGTGTGTGTGTGTCTATAATGTATATAATATATGCATATTATAATATATGCTGTTTCTCACCTTCTGTCTCTCTGTCTTTCTGGTGAGTGCACATGCCCTATAGCAAAAATCTCTCTCAAAAAAAAAGCAATGTAAGGACCAGCAGGTAGTGCAGAGGGAGGTTAAGGTGGCCAGATCCAAGATAGCCAGATTGCACATGGCTGACTGTACAGTTCAAGTCCCAGACCCAGCAGCTTGAAAATCACACCAACTGTGTGTGTGTGTGTGTGTGTGTGTGTGTGTGCCCGAGGGCCTGCGAGGGGAACAGAGCAGAAGGGACTGTAGCATGACCATCTCCTCTGAGGGCATAGGTTATCACTTTTTCCTCTCCCCGTCTCTGGTGAGTGCATGTGCCCTATAGCAAAAATAGAACAAAACAAAAAAAGCAATGTAAGAGAGGTTCTGTCATCAGCAGTGAATGACGGCTGGAGGATCCGTGATTCAGTGCCATCCTGAGGGCTGCTTCCTTGGTGCACCCCAAACTCAGATAGGCTTGACATTGCTCTCTGTGGGCAAAAGGGAAGACTGAGGGAGGGAGAAGAAAGGTCTCAGGTAACACCTGACTCGGGGTGGCCCTGTTCTTTGGAGAAGGGCCTGTGCTTAGGACAGGCCCTAGGAATGGATTTGGTCTTTCAGCCCTGAGAAGCTAATTCTTCTGCCCATGCATCACCGAATAAATCTACATCCTCTGGCCTCCTGCTGTTATCTCTGCCCTAATGTCCCAATAATATGGACTGAACATCTCTTCCAGGACCACGGGAAGCCCAGAGCCTTTCCCAGAGCCCTCCCCAGTGGTTCCCAGGACACTGCTAAGGGTTTATATTCTCAAGGTCATATCTGACTCCTAATTCCCGCCCTTAAGGAATTCTTGATTCTCACTAACATTTGTTCCCTTCTCCCTACCCCCACCCTGGAGCAGCTGTTCTTCCTGAGCCCTCTCTTGTCTCGAGTTCAGAGCCC